GTTTCCTTGACTGATGAAGCCTTCTGGATGGAAGGTGAAACGTTTCAGCATAAAAAAGAAACTGTCCAGATGACCTGACTGAAAAAAGTTGGATTGTAAACCTGGATTATTGAGCATGGACTGTTTTGGCATTGGGTGGAATGTAAACAGTTGCCAAAATAACACTGGTGAACTCTCTTGGCAAATAATATGGACGACAACTTAGTGCTAACAGTTCAATATCTGGACTGCAGAGACGACACTTCACAGTAACATGTCCAGGATTACACCATCTGTTGTTCACAAGCACTGCCAACCCACCTCCTTTCCTTTTGCCACTCCTCTTTAAATCTCTATCTGCTCATATGGTCAGAAAGCCTGGCAAGGAAACGCTGGAGTCGGGGAAATGATCCTGCAGCCATGTCTCAATGAAACACATAACACTGCATTCCCGATACTCTGGATGGGTCCTTGTTAGGGCTTGAAGTTCATCCAACTTGTTTCCCAGTGATCTCACATTGCCCATCATGATCGATGGAAGAGATGGTTTGAATTTGATTCTTCTCTCTTTCTCCCTCTTCTTTGCTCCTGCTCTGCATCCACGACGCCTCCTTTTCAACTCATTTGGGATTTGGGACTGTAGTTGAGATATTATTTGAGCTTTGGAGACGTTAATCAGCTGCTCCCGGTTGTAAAAAACAAACAAACCTTGTTGTCATGGTTACGCATCATAACAAGTGTCCAAAAGCAAAGATATTTCTGTAAAAATCCTTCCAGCTGCACAGCATCCGACACCAGAGGAAACAATCATCCAAAAAAAGCGATTTATATCCAGAAAAAAGAGGAATTAAAGTTTTCAATCGTAATTTCTCAGAATCAAAGTATCAGAACTGCTCCAACATGCAGACACCTTGAGCAGCGCAGTTCTAGGACTAAAGAGATGTATATAGATGATATAGCCCCATCTTTGCTGCATACGGAATTATCTAGATGTTTTAAAAATCTCGAGAGATCGCCCAGCCCTACCAAAAGCCATGGGTTCACACAGGTTGTCAGCTTTTGGTTTTACATTATGAATAAAGAGTGAGATGTTGAACATGTGTGTTCTTCATGAAAAGGGTTTCTTTGGCTTTCATTCGTAAATGTAATCGTGTTGGAGCAGGAACTCTGAACATATTTCACCCGTTTTGTCCTCACTTCACTGGCTCCCTCTATGCAACAGGATTGATTTTAAAATTCTCCTGTTGACCTTTAAGTGCATTAATAGCCTTGCAGTCTCATCTCTCCCTGACCTACTGCAACCATATGTTCCTTCTCGGGTGCTGAGATCATCTGACCAGCTGCTTGTGGTTGGACCTAAAACCAGGTTGAAGCTCAGACGAGATCGGGCTTCTTCAGTCATGTGCCCTAAACTTTGGACGATAAATCGGCCGGCCGACTTATCGGCGCCGGTTTCTTTAATTTTGGAAAATGGGAAATCGGCTGATACTTGCATGAGAAACCAATTTTACAGTTTGTTTGTTTGTTTTAACAACAATTGTCTAAAGTTAATTTATATTTCAGAGCACTGCCTCATGTCCTGTTAAAACAAGTTTGTATTGTTTCTAGATGTTGTTCAAGGGCATGTTTTCAATACAATAAGCTCAGAAAAGTGATGGTGCGTTGTGACCTTATACCTGACGGTGTCTCTTAGAAAACAAAATCTGAATCGGCAGCTCAGACTTTTTAGAAATCAGTGATTGGCCAGAAAACTGCCATCGGTGCACCCCTCCTTTGTAACGATCTGCCCCCCAACATTAGACAGGCTCACTTTGTGAGGATCCGCAACTTCTCCTCCACCATAACCCTCAGCACTGGCTCCCCTCAGGCAGGAGGTTGAGGAGCATTAAGTGTAGAACCACTAGACTGAGGAACAGCTTCTACCCTGAGGCTGTTAGACTCATGAATCCCTGACCAGGAGAATCACTGTGATGCCACTTGGATTGGTGATATGCGACTTATCTGTGCTGCTGATTATGCATGCTGCTGATTATCTCATGTTGCTGTATTCGTTCATACCCATCTGCTCACCACAGACTCATGTTCAGGCTGCTGTTGATTTAATAATAATAATAATACATTTTATTTGTAGGCACCTTTCTTGGCACTCAAGTCACCTTACATTGTCAATCATAAAAACAGACACGATATTATACACACAGTAAAAACAATTAAAGTAGAATTGAAATAGGACGATGCAGTCACAGAGTGTAGGCTTCTTTAAACAGATGAGTTCTGAGTTTGACATGTGGCAGTGAGTCTGTAGTACGAATATCAGGTGGAGTGACTTCCAGAGGCGTGTGCCGTATTGTTCTGTATTATTAGTGTTTAGCGTACAGTAGAGCTTAGATCTTTCGTGTACTGTTTGCCGTTCGTTTAGCATATATCTTAGATCCTACTTTACCGTTTCTTTTTATACTTTTTTTGGTATTTTGCTTGTAACTGGGACCCTGTGGACATAATTTCGTCCCACGTCATGTACAACATGTGGTGAGGATGACGATAAACCTGCTTGAACTTCACTTCCTGTTTTTGAATCTCTTTAAAAAATCCATCTGTTTTCACTGACTTTAACAGTGTGATTTGATGTATTTCATTTTGTGTTTTAATGTTTTTCTTTTGATGCTTTTATTACATTTTATTATTATTTTTCTTTAATTACTGCCATTGATGTTATTGTTGAGCACCTTGGTAACACCTGCTGTTTTTAAATGTGCTTTATGAATAAATTTGACTTGAATTGTTCTTTTATTTCAGACCGTCTATGAAGGCAGAATATACAGTCTGAAAATGGACTGTGGGCCAAAATACCCAGAACTTCCTCCTCTTGTTCGCTTTGTGAACAAGATCAACTTGACTGGTGTGAACAGTTCAAATGGTGTGGTGAGTGTCCACATCTAACAACACATTCACTTTATTCAAATTGTAATGATTTGTAGTTCATTCGTCATTATTTACTGCCATCTTCTCAGTATCAGGTGGTGGGTGTCCCATGCCGCCTACACTGAACACTGACTGATGAAAACAATGAAATGACATCCTTCCCATTTTCGCCATCGCTGAATATAGTATACACCTCATGTCATTGTCATTACAGACTTGTATTTGTATATTTGGATTTGTATATCTTGGGGGAGGCTGCACCCAGTGCAGGGAGGTTACTCCAGCCTGGTGGAGAAGCCCATCTGCCTTGCATCATGCTCTAATCTGGGACAGGCTGGTTGCTGCTATTCCAGTAATGGCAGGACCTGGAGACAGTATGATTAAAAAATACAACTGAGCCAAGTTTTCAGACAGAGGTCGAAGATCTGCCTGGAGCAACTTGTCTATGGTGGAGGACCTTTCTCCCAATCGATGCAACAGCTGTACAGAAGGATCCCTTCAGAAGGTGCAGGAGTGCTGATCTTGCACAACTATAGTGAGAGAGTGTACTTACCCACTAGATGGTTTTGCAACTGTATCTCAGCTCGAGATACAGTGGTGACTGAAAATTTGTGAACTCCATAATTTTCTATATTTGTGCATAGGGGTACAGAAAAAAATCAATTTTTAAAAATAATCTAGATTCTTAGTCCTGGCGATTCTGAATCAATTCTAAAGGCCCATAAGTTGATTTTAAAATGTGTTTAATTTTATTATTTTAGGCTCCTACTCCTGAACGTACTGCATATCACATTACGTGGGTCCAAGGGTCAATTCATCTCACAAGACCCTCGGAGCATGTGGAGGGGCATTAAGTGCATAACAGATTATAAAGGAAGGAGTGAACAATGCCCCAAAGACCCATCTCTGCCTGATGCCCTCAACAAGTTCTATGCACGCTTTGAAGACCCGAACAGACCACCCAGCACCAGACTCACCTCACCACCGGATGAAGAGCATCTCAGCGTGACCTCAGCAGAAGTAAGGAGTACCTTCAGGAGGATTAATCCGCACAAAGCAACCGGCCCAGACAACATTCCCAGAAAAGTGTTGAAGGAATGTGCTGATCAGCTCTGTGAGGTGCTGGCAGACATCTTTAACACCTCACTTACCCTGGAGACAGTTCCCACCTGCCTGAAGACTGCCACCATCATCCCAGTCCCAAAAAGCTCTACAGTGACTGGTCTGAATGACTATCGGCCAGTGGCCCTCACCCCGATAGTCGCTAAATGCTTCGAAAAACTGATCATGACTCACATCAAAACAACCATCAACATCAACGAGGACCCTCATCAGTACGCATACCGTGAGAACCGATCAACAGAGGATGCAATCTCCTCTGTGGTCCACACTGCACTCAACCACCTGGAGCAGAAAAACTCTTACGTCCGTATGCTCTTTGTGGACTTCACATCCGCCTTCAACACCATGATCCCCCAAACCCTGATGGACAAACTATCCACACTAGGACTAAGCCCCTCCATTTGCAACTGGGTACTAGACTTCTTAACAAACAGACCACAGTTAGTGAGGATCCACAACTTCTCCTTCTCCACAATAACCCTCAGCACTGGCTCTCCTCAGGGATGTGTGTTGAGCCCCCTCCTGTTTACTCTGCTCACGTATGATTGTGCAGCTACCCATCCAGGCTGTCACATTGTAAAGTTTGCAGATGATACAGCGGTGGTGGGATGCATCACAAACAATGATGAGTCCAGCTACAGGCAGGAGGTGGAACACCTGGAGAGCTGGTGCAAAGAGAATAACCTTCACATCAATGTGAAGAAGACAAAGGAGATGATTGTGGACTTCAGAAGGAACAAAAACACCTACACCCCCCTGAACATAAGAGGATCTGCGGTGGAAGTGGTCTCCAGCTACAAGTACTTGGGTGTACACATGAACAACAACCTCAGCTGGAGCAACAACACCACCAGCCTGATCAAGAAAGCTCATCAGAGACTCTACTTCCTCAGACGGCTGAGGCGAGCTGGTCTGGAAGCTCAGTCCTCACCTCCTTCTACAGGTGTGCAGTGGAGAGCATCCTGTGCTCCAGCATCAACGTGTGGCATGGAGGCTGCACAGCTGCAGAAAGAAAAGCTTTGCAGAGAGTGGTGAAGGCTGCACAGAAGATGTTGGAGTCAGTCTCCCCACCATCACAGACATCTACACCTCCAGATGCAGGAAGAGGGCCACCTGCATCATGAAGGACCCCACTCACCCAGCACACACACTTTTTGCCCCACTCCCCTCAGGAAGGAGGTTAAGGAGCATTAAGTGTAGAACCACTAGACTGAGGAACAGCTTCTACCCTGAGGCTGTTAGACTCATGAATCTCTAACCAGGATAAGAACTGTGAAAAACCATATCATGTTGCTGCTGATCTGTTTCATGTTGCTGCTGATCTGTTTCAAGTTGCTGCTGATCTGTTTCATGTTGCTGCTGCTGTTTCATGTTGCTGCTGCTGTTTCATGTTGCTGCTGATCTGTTTCATGTTGCTGCTGATCTGTTTCAATGTTGCTGCTGATCTGTTTCAATGTTGATGTGTTCATGCGTGCACATCTGCTCACAGACTCATGTTCATGTTTGTGCTGATGTTCAATGTTTTATGTTATGAGTGCTTAGTGTATATTTAGTTGATGTTTTTCTTAGTTCATATCTTAGATGTTATTACTGTTTTTATTATACATTTTATTGTTGGATGTAACTGGGACCCCGTGTACATAATTTCGCTCCACCACATGTACCACATGAGGTGCGAATGACAATAAAGAAACTCTGACTCTGACGTGTCCGTTCGGCCTCCGTAGAATTGAGCCGTGCAGGCCACCGTACAGCAGCAGCTAGTTAGCCAGCTCCCTTTATCTGAATGGAGCCTGTCAGCATGGAGGAGGAGACGGCACGATTCAACTCGCTGCTTCAGCTTTAAACATCATTTCAGATCCTACAATGTTCCAGGGGAAGACAGAGCTTCACAAGAACACAGCTGTTTACAAGAAGTGTAAAATAAAATTGCAGTACATTCATCCATCCATCCATCCATCCATTATCTTTACCCGCTTCTTCCATTTTGGGTCACGGGGGTCGCTGGTGCCCATGTCCAACAATCACTGTGCGAGGGGTGGGGGACACCCTGGACGGGTCTCCAGTCCATCACAGGGACACATAGAGACAAACGAGACAAACAACCATTCACTCTCTCACCTAGGGACAATTTAGAGTTACCAATCAGCCTAACATGCATGTTTTTGGTCTGTGGGAGGAAACTGGAGTATCCAGAGAAAACCCACGCATGCACGGAGAGAACATGCAAACTCCACCCAGAAGGCACCTGGACCGGGATTTGAACCAGGGACCTGCTCGCTGAGAGGAAGCAGCTCTACCAGTTGCGTCACCGTGCTGCTCCCAAAAATTGTTTTAAATAAATGTCTATTTGTGTATATTGCTGTTTAACCTTTTCAGCTTGTCAGTTACATAACTGAAACAAAATTTATGACCATTTCAATAGAAAAATCATTTTTGAGTGGGAAAATCGATTTAGAATCGAATCGTGACACAAAAATATCTGAATCGAATCGAATCGCCAGATACGGAGAAATTCGCACCCCCTAAAATCTGACCTAAAACATCATCAGATTTCAACACAAGTCCTAAAAGTAGATAAAGAGAACACAAGTAAACAAATGAGACAAAAATATTATACTTGGTCATTTATTTACAGAGGAAAATGATCCAATATTAAATACTAGTGAGTGGTAAAAGTATGTGAATTATCAGTTAATGTGAGGGTGAAATTGGAGTCAGGTGTTTTCATGATGATCAGGTGTGAGTGGACACCCTGTTTGATTTAAAGAACAGTGTGATACAAGTTAATTACTTTATATTGCCAGTAGGTGGCACTGTGCTGTTAGAAAAGACCTGAATGATGACGAGTAAAGGGCGTTGTCTTCCAAACATCAGCGTCTGTCTCATGATATGTTACATGGTGTCAGGAGTGAAAGACAGAGTGGATTAACCTTGCAAATGAAAGAACATGGACCAGATGAAACCTCCAACCTCATTAAGTCTAGAAGGAAATCTAGCAGAAAACGGGAGAGTCTGGATTCAGAGATTTGAACTGTACCTTGTTGCCAGAGGAATTGAGGAAAAATCTGATGCTGTGAAGAAAGCTACGTTTCTGCACGTAGCTGGAGATGAAGCCATCAAGGTATACAGCACCTTTGATTTTGTTGAGGACGCTGATGAAAATGCTGATAACTACGGTCAACTGAAAGAGCTGTTCCACAAGTATTATGAACCAAGAAAAAATGTGACCTATTTGAGGCACCTGTTCTTCACTCGAGTGCAAGGAAAATCAGAGACTATTGATTCATATGTGACTGATTTAAAGAGTAAAGCCAAAGACTGCGAGTTTGAGCCCCTCACGGACTCACTGATAAGAGACAGAATTGTGTGTGGAATCTCTGATGATCAAGTAAAAGGACGATTATTGAGAGAACCTGATCTCACTCTAGACAAAGCAATAGACATTTGCAGAGCCAGTGAGTGCAGTCGAAGTCAGTTAAAAAGTCTACAAGAGGAGGTTGAAATCCCTGTTAATAAAGTCACAAAGAAAAAACAATATGATAAACAGAGAGACAGTGGAGCTACAGCACAGAGTGGAAATGTGAGGAATCAAGGAAACTGCACAAGATGTGGCTATAAGCACGATCCAAAGAAATGTCCTGCTTATGGACAAGTGTGTAAAGCTTGTCACGGGAAAAATCACTATGCAAGAATGTGCAAATAATGCAAGCACACCAACAACCCGAAGGTGCATCATATAAATAAGACCCAAGCTGAAGAGGAGGAATTCTTTATTGGTTCCCTTCACACAGCATCACAAGCTAACATGACTGTAACCAAGGCAGAAAAATGGCATGAAGATCTCATGGTCAGCAAGAAAGTTTTGAAAGTCAGGTTGGATACTGGAGCTGATTGCAATGTTGTGTCCATGAAAGACCTCAGAAAACTGAGATTGGATCAACAGGTGAGCTCATCACATGCTAAGCTTGTTGCTTATGCAGGCCATCAGATTACAGCAAAAGAAAAAATTATGTTGACATGTCAGTATAAAGACAAAAAGTATGATGTAGAATTTGAGGTCATAAAGAAAAATGCACCTGCAATTCTTGGAGAAGAGTCAAGTGAAAAAATGGGACTTATTGGGAGACTACATGCACTTGAAAAACAGGATGACATTCTGAGTGAATATGAGGATTTATTTTCTGGATTAGGCTGCATACCAGGAATGTACCACATTCAGACAAATCCAGACATTGCTCCAGTGGTTCATGCTCCCAGAAAAGGGCCCGTTGCTCTCAAAGACAAAATTGAAGCAGAACTAAAAATAATGGAAAGTGTGGGTGTGATAACTAAACAGACAGAGCCAACAGGTTGGGTGAATAGCATGGTTACGGTAACCAAACCCAATAAGGTAAGGATCTGCATTGACCCACTGGACCTGAATAAAGCCATCAAGAGAGAACATTATCCACTGTGCACAATTGAAGAAGTGGTTGCTGAAATGCCAAATGCCCGATTTTTTTTCAGTTTTAGACGCCAACCATGGATTTTGGCAAATCCAGTTAGACGAAGAAAGTTCTCAACTGTGTACGTTTAATACTCCATTCGGGAGATATAGGTTTAAAAGACTTCCATTTGGTATCTCATCAGCACCTGAAGTGTTCCAAAGGTGCATAGCCAGACATTTAGAAGGTCTTGATGGTGTAGTCAATATAATTGATGACATCCTGGTTTGGGGAAAGAGCATAGAGCAGCATGATCATTGGTTGAGATGACTGCTAGACCGTCTGAGAAGTGTCGATCTGAAATTGAACAAAAGTAAGTGCAAGATAAGGATGACCGAGATCAGTTACATTGGACATGTTCTCAGTGAGAAAGGACTTAAACCTGACCCTGAAAAGGTTAAAGCTATACAAAACATGGTTGCACCAGAGGACAAATCTGCTCTTCAGAGGTTTACAGGATTATTGCAATACCTTTCTAAATTTATCCCCAACCTTTCAGATTTGAGTGATCCTTTAAGAAAGTTGGAAGGAGATGTGGAATGGCATTGGGGACCAGAGCAACTAAACAGTTTTAATAAACTAAAAGCTCTCGTCAGCCAAACACCAGTACTGAAGTACTATGATGTCAGCAAGCCAGTTATTTTATCAGAGGATGCAAGCTCTGAGGGATTGGGAGCCGTGCTTCTCCAAGAGGGACAACCAGTAGCAAATGGCTCTAGAGCATTAACTGAGTGTCAAAAACGTTATGCTCAGATTGAAAAAGAAATGCTTGCTATTGTGTATGGTTGTGAAAAATTCCATTAGTATTTATATGGAAGACGTGTGCAGGTAGAAAGTTATCACAAGCCACTTGAGGTGATATTTAAGAAATCCATCCTTGACGCTTCATAAAGATTACAAAGAATGCTCTTGAGACTGCAAAAATACAGTCTTGAAGTTAAATATAAATCAGGAAAGAATATTCATGTTGCTGATGCTCTGAGCAGAGAATGTCTAAATGAGCATCATGAGAAACGTCTTGATGAAGAGCTGGAGGTCAATTGTGTAAGTCAACAACTCCCTGTATCAGATGGAAAGATGCAGGAGTTTAAAGAAGCAACAAAAGAGGATGCTGAGTTAAAACTGGTTGCAAATGCCATTGAAAGAGGTTGGCCAGATCTACAGAGACATGTTCCAGATAAAATCAAACAATACTGGACTTTCAGAGAAGAGCTGTCGTATGACGATGGACTCGTATTCAAGATTCAAGGTTGGTAGTACCACATAGATTGAGAAGTGAAAAGCTCAGGAAAATCCACGAGTCACACATGGGCATGGTGAAGTGTAAAGAGCGAGCCCGTGATGTTCTGTTCTGGCCGGGGATGGGCAAACAGACAGAAGAGGTTGTGGCTCAATGTGCTGTATGTAATACACATAAGAACAAAAATCAAAAAGAGCCACTTATGTCACATAAGAGATGAAGCTTTTGTCCTTGGTTAATCATGACCCAGGAATTTATGTTCGGGAGATGTGAACCAGGCACTTCAGACACACAGAGAGCAGAGTAGGAAGAAGGAAAAACGGGGGAGGGATGACAGAAGCAGCCACCTCGATCAGAGCCAGGGAGGAACCAATTATTGGGAACCAGCCACTGTGGTACAAAAACACAGTCAGCCAAGGTCATATGTTGTTAAAACTACAACTGGAGAACTGTACAGGAGGAATCACAAACACCTGCTCAAAACAAGAGAGACTGAATTTCCAAGAGTACCTGATGATAATATACCAGAGTACTCTTATCAAGAGGAGACGCAGAACACATGGCCAAGTACTGAACCTCCTCAAGATGCAAGAAACGTGCAAGATACACGGCCAAGTGTTGAACCATCTAGCTCTACTCCAGACTGTTCCACTGTTCCACACAGTCCAACAGTAGTGACTGACAGTACTATTTCTTCTGACAGTCCTGTGAGATCAACTCGCTGTGGAAGACCTGTTAGAAGGCCAAGACGTTATATGGACTGAACGTGATTTATGAATTTTGCTAAAAGTTAACTATGAAATTATGAACTATGGGGAAAAAAACTTCAGAGAGGGAGATGTGATGTATACTGTATTGAGACAAGTTAATTGCTTTATATTGCCAGTAGGTGGCACTGTGCTGTTATAAGACCTGAATGATGACGAGTAAAGGGCGTTGTCTTCCAAACATCAGCGTCTGCCTCATGATGTGTTACAAACAGGATCTATCAAAGTCTGCTCTTCACAACATGTTTGTGGATGTGTATCATGACAGGAACAAAGGAGATTTATGAGGAGCTCAGAAAAATAATAAAGATAATTTATAAAGTAAAGGTAGATTTAAAACAGCAGCTGATACCAAAACTGTTTAACAATAAAAATCAGTGATTTAATGAATATTTACCACATTTATCTGTACTACGGTATTTCACTTCCTGTCACTTGACCCCGTTAAGACTTCTGGGTAATTTTTCCCGGTGTATATAATTTTAAAATAATTTCAGTTCTGTAGGTGTTTGACACTTGTATGCACATTTTTAGTGTTTTATGTCCAGTAGTTATGCTTACCAGTAGATATTTACCAGTATTTTGTTCATTTTAAAGGTATAATGTTTGTTACCATGAGTCAAAACCTGAAGCTTTTTAAGTATTGTAGGATGACCACTCAAGTTTAGTACATGTTGAAAGTAATCTGTAGTCTGTGGTCACCATCAAGTGGCTGAATTTTGTACTACATCCAGTACTGCACAGATAAAGTGGGACACATACATTCACTGTACTGCAAATACCTGCAGTATAACAGCCTGTGTGTCTGATTTAATTCAATTCAAAAATCCCAGAGGGAAATTACATAATGTACAGTGTAATTATGTACAACATTATAACATTAAAACATAAAAAAAAAAAATTATGATTTATCTTATATTTAGTATGTGTGGCTTATATACAGGTGCAATTACGCTATATCTATCTATATATAGATAGATAGATAGATAGATATAGATGGATAGATATAAAATAAAGGCGTCTTAAACCGTTCCCACACTCTTGTAATATTCTAATCAATGTTTCCAAACTCTAAACGCTCTAAAAGAGCACAGCATGTCATGATTTCCTTCTCTGTGCCTCCGCTGCTCTCAGCCACCTGCAAACACTCTTGGCCACGCCCACTTCTCTGTTCTGTATGCAGATAAGCTGATCAGCTGCAGGAGGGAGTTTATCCTGCAGTATGGGCAGCACAGAGGCGCAGGAGAAAGCTTTTTCTGCAGCGTGGGCTGCACGAAGGAGCAGCAGGTGCTAAATAATTTAAAACGATTTATTTTAAATAAAAATTCCATGCTGATCGTGCAGCTCATTCATCAATCAGCCATGTGTCGTGTGTCATGTCTAATCTTATTTTGAAAAACCACGATGGAGCGAATCCACAATAAACAAACCGCAAAGTAGCGAGGGGCTACTGTATACGGTTTCTTTTTATACTTTATATTTCACTATTTTTGGGTGTAACTGGGACCCTGTGTACATAATTTCGTCCCACCTCATGTACCACATGTGATGGTAATGACAATAAAGTTGACTTGAACTTGATATGACAAATAAACAGTAAACTTAACTTTAACCACAGTCTACTGATCTTAGCAAGCACAAAAATGGCCATTACTCAGTTGATTTTACAGATACTGAGCTAAAATTTAAGAATAAGGGATGAATAGGACTCGGCCTAAAATGGAGACGAGACGTGTTAAGCTTGTGGGCATAACTGTTGCTTTTTAAACTAATTCTCTGTAAGATAATGAGTTTTGACGTCCTTCTTCTCTCAGGTCGACCTAAAGTCTGTGTCATCAATGTCCCGGTGGAAGAACTCGTACAACATCAAGATGGTGCTGCAGGAGCTCAGACAGCACATGATGATGAAGGAGAACAGCAGGCTCTCCCAGCCACCTGAAGGCCAGGTGTACAGCAACTGAGGCTGCTGGTGCTGCTGTTAACCCCGTCTCCCTCACGCTCTCTCCCTCCCTCCCTCTTACGCACACACACACACACACACACACACAGACCATCCTAAACCCTGTCCTGCTCAGCCACCATCTTACCAAAGATTAACACCCACTTCCTTCGGGAGCCTTCCACTGAATGGATAAAGATCTGCGAGAGAAACCAACTTCCTCACCCAGACCTCCATCTAAGTCAACAAAGTTCATGCTCAATCATCCAGGTACCAAATCCAATAATTCTCCGTCAGGTCATTTGGACAGTTGTTGCTTTTTTTGAGACATTTCGCCCTCTATCCGGAGGGCTTCATCAGTCTGAGGAGTTCCAGTAAACCGTTTCCCCAGCAAGCAGTAAACTTCTTAAGTGGACCAACCAGCCCTGCTGGAGCTAAGATGGTTTCTGGGGGCCATCTTGTTCCCCGTCAACTCCTCCCAGGCAGGCAGCCACAGCCAAGTCCATGCTGCAAATCTGCTAATTCAAAACAGAAACAAAGTCCTATATATGCTTTTGTTTTATCATCTTTATATCCCGAATGTGAAAAAACTAATGATCTGGTGCAATGTTCAAGTTATTAGGGGGATCCCACGAGACAGTTTAATGTTTAGGACATTGTGTGCACGACAACCTTCAACATATTCCAGTTTGTAACAAAACGGTTTTACTTGGTCTTTCAGACTACAGTGATTTAAATTCCAAAGCTTCCACATCTGCTGAGGTAAACTTGAGGGGACCTTCTTTAAGCTAGTGCCTGTCAGATCAGGAGAAACTTGTAGATGCAGTGTATTTCTGAGCAGGACGCCGTTGCCTCGGTGTTTTCTCAGACTTTTGTGCCATATGGTTCTCGATGCTTCGTGATGATTACCGGTATTGTCAGTGTGCAGAAGATGTGGACGTGTGGTCGGAGCTCACAGGAGCTTTTTTTGTTTTTGTTTGTTTCCTAAGAACTTTTTCTTTAGCTCTGTCCCTTTTTCAGGATGGTGGTCTTTGAAACAGGAGGAGCTGTGATTTTTCTTATTTTTTTACCATTTAGTTAGTTCTTGGTTTTCTTCCTTTAGACACTGGGCTGACATGTTTATGGCGTATCTTCTGTCATTCAGTGAATCCTCACTGAACTCGACGTACGACGGATGTTTATTTTCTAAATGGGTAGACTTGAGTCAGGGTGGTGTAACCTGTTGCATGGTTCTATTTCAATTAAACATGATTACCTTTGCATATGAAAGTTTCATCATTGTCCAAAACTCCAAACACTGTTAGTTTTGTTAAATTACTACTCTTTTAGCTTAACAGGTGATTATACGATATGAAGTAATGGCTTAGTTTTCTTCATATGAATGTCTTTCCTGAGCAACAAAAGTTTGCACCACCATCAGACTGAGGTGTTTTAAATGTTTATTTCTGTTCATTTTGATGACTTTGATTTCCATCTAATAAAAACCTGATTCACTTTATCAGAAAATTAGAATGTTGTGTTAGACCAAGAAAGTGTACTGTAGCTGGTTTCAGTGCTTCCAAAGCCACCACACAGATGGATTCAGGACCTGGGCTATGTCGTGTCGAGCCACTCCTGAACCGGATAAGTTAGAATTGTCCTACCTGGGTTGAGGACAAAAAGGACTGAACTGTTGCAACATCTGGTATTTAGACAAAATAAATTTTTGAATTTCATTTGTAAAGAAAGTAATTTGTAAGGAGTTTGGTTGAAGAGTGGAGAGGCTCAGAATTCAAGCTGCTTGAGGTCCAGAGGGAAATTCTTCAGTCTGATTTGGGAGCCATGTCATCTGGTGTGGGCAGCACGGTGGTGCAGCTGGTAGAGCTGCTGCCTCTCAGCGAGCAGGTCCCTGGTTCAAACCCCGGTCCAGGGGCCTTTCTGGGTGGAGTTTGCATGTTCTCTCCGTGCATGCGTGGGTTTTCTCCGTGTGCTCCGGTTTCCTCCCACAGACCAAAAACATGCATGTTAGGCTGATTGGTAACTCTAAATTGTCCCTAGGTGTGAGTGAGAGAGTGAATGTTTGTTTGTCTTGTTTGTCTCTATGTGTCCCTGTGATGGACTGGAGACCCGTCCAGGGTGTCCCCCGCCCCTCGCACAGTGATTGCTGGACATGGGCACCGGCGACCCCCGTGACCCAAAATGGAATAAGAGGGTAAAGATAATGGATGGATGGATGGATGGATGGATGTCATCTGGTGTTTGTGCACTGTTTTATCAAGTCCAAAGTTGGCACAGCCGTGTCTACCAGCACCTTTTAGAGCATGTCATGCTTTTCTCTGCTGACGAGCTTTATGGAGTACTGCCAATTTTAGGGGTGCGAATTTCTCCGTATCTGGCGATTCGATTCGATTCAGATATTTTTGTGTCACGATTCGATTCTAAATCGATTTTCCCACTCAAAAACGATTTTTCTATTGAAATGGTCATAAATTTTGTTTCAGTTATGTAACTGACAAGCTGAAAAGGTTAAACAGGATCAGCCCTCAATTGGTTCAGATCTTACCTCACTGACAGATCCTTTTGTGTTTCCATCAAGGATTTTAGTTCCGCAGAGGCAGAGCTTAAACGGGGGGTTCCGCAAGAGTCCATCCTGGGTCCCCTCCTATTCTCTTTATACCTGCTGCCACTTGGTGCTATTTTCCGGAAACACAACATGCCCTTCCACTTTTACGCCGATGACTGTCAAATTTACTTCCCCCTAAGACACAATGGTACATGCTCTATTCAACCTCTGCTCAACTGCCTGGCTGACATCAGGGACTGGATGGCTTTAAACTTCTTAAGTTTCAATGAAAAGAAGTCTGAAGTCATGTTGTTCCCTCCCAACGACACGATCACAAACCACTGCATCGACCTCTCCGCTCTAACCCTGTCAGAAAAACAAAGAGTCACTAATCTGGGCGTGATAATGGACCCTTCCCTGAAACTTAACAATCATGTAAACATGATTGTTAAATCATGTTTCTTCCAACTGAGGCGGCTGTCTAAACTGAAGCCCATATTGTCCAAAAAGAACCTGGAGACAGTAATACATGCATTCATTACATCTAGGCTTGATTACTGCAATTCACTCCTGTTTGGTATCAGTCAGACCTCCACTGCACGACTACAACTGGTCCAGAATGCAGCAGCCAGATTTTTAACCAGTACAGGCGAAAGAGAGCACATTACACCAGTTTTGGCCTCACTGCACTGGTTACTGGTTCACCTTCAAATCCATTTCAAAATACTCCTGTATGTCTACAAATCACTGAACAGTGTCGCCCCCCAATCTCTCTGATCTGCTACAACCGTATGTCCCACCACATTCCCTGAGGTCAGCGGACCAGTTGCTCCTCACAGTTCCAGGAACTCGTCTTAAGTGCAGAGGTGACGGGGCCTTCTCTGTAGCAGGACCAAGACTCTGGAACGAGTTGCCTCTGCTTGTCAGACAGGCCCCTCCCTCTCGGTTTTCAAATCCCATTTGAAAGCCCACTACTATTCAGTAGCTTTCAACACCAGAGGATCTGTGTTTTGAACTTGTATGCTCCACACCAGTTAGTCATATTTATTATCTGCATCGTTTTTATGTCTATATTTCTGATTTACTTCATTTTGTATATTGCTTTGTGTGTTGCCTGTTTTTCTGTCTGTACAGCACTTAAGTTGGCCTTGTTGCTGTTTGAAGTGCTCTATAAATAAAATGGTATGGTATGGTAT